GTGAAGTTCTTGAAATTTCGCTCACAACTTGGTCTCCGCTTCCCAAAGTCCAGAGCTGCTTAAAGCGCCTGCTACGCTTGCGTAACCATTCGGATACTTAGCGAGGGGGAGTGTTGAACAGGCGCTGGTTTACACAGCTTGCCTAACACAGCCGTCACAAGATATGGAACGGCACAGCCGGTTACTGCAATAACCGAGGCTGTACTACTCATGTGGTACACACACAGCTTCGCTGTGTACGCACTGCTTCTCTGTGCGACTGTGCATCCTGGGAATGTACTGTATAGTACTACGTAGCCACAGATGTACAGTAGTATATATAGGGGACCTCTGTACCCCCAATCTACAGTTCAGTTCACTCGAACATCTCCTCTCATCGCTCTAACAAGCCTCTTACAACCAACAACCCTTCTAGGTGAGTTGCAGGCTATCCGCTGTCGTTGCCACCCGTGGGAGAGGCCTTCGCCCCCCGGGTTCAACATGGAATTCTATAGGAATAGTTCTGGAGCGGCGTGATGACATTGTCCGATCACAAACAGCCCTCGACGGTACTAATCAGCAAAAGTGTAAAAATCTTTTGCCGTATTGCCCGTTCAGGCAATACTCAGCGAGAGCGCGCAATATACGTCAGATCATGCGCTGTCATGGGTGGTCTTGCAATGTCGTAAATATATTGCAAGACCTTGCAATATCCTACAAGACCAGGCAATATCGGCAATACCGGGCAATATTTCGCATTATTGCAGGTATTGCGAGGTATTGCCGGTATTGCGCGCTCTCGGAATACATTTCCGGTATTGCAAGACCATGCCACAAATGGCGCTTCAGGCAATGTCCGCAATCCTGTAGGATATTTTTACACTTTTGCTGATGGCCTAAGTACATGTACCACTCTTATGATGGAGCTGCACGCGTGCATCTGTTTGTCTACATTTCCCTTATGATTCTGCTACACAGGTTATGGACTGCGGCCTTGTACGCAGTGAGACAACGACAGGGAAATGATGACTCCTTCAAGTTTTATACGAACCCGGGATCGGATGGAGGCTTCTGCAGTGTGAGGTTGAATATAGCGAACTCCCAAACTGCAGTGTGCCCTACGTCTTGCCGGGTAGCGCTTTATATGGCCGACGACACTCAGGTGCCGACGCCCGCGCGCTGAAGCAGGGCCGGATTCCACTACACCGGAGAAGAATCAAGATATTGCTTACACGCGATTTGGTTAGGTACGCTCCAATCCTTGCAAGCGAAGACGGGATAGAAGACACAGATATATTACCACACACTATATAGTATGCCCCAACGGGGATCCTCGCCAGTCCACACCATCATGCCAACTCCTCCACTGCCCCAGAATACGACTCAGCCGCGTTCATCGAGCGTTCATACCTCCGTCGCGCCTCGTGCAGTCCAGCCGAGAAACCACCCAGGATGAAGAGCGTGCACAGATCCGAGAGGCTGAGCGCTTCCGTCTGGAAGATGCTTTGAAGGAACGGGACGTAGATGAGCGCGAGCTGGACGAGGAATGACGTCGATACCGTCGTGACTAGCATCCGGTTTTGTAAGAGGCCACAGCCAAGGCCACGGTTTTGTACTGCTGAAACAAGGTCGAGGAAAACGAAGCATGTGAAGGTCTTATGACGTACGATCAGTTTATGTTCAGCGTGGCACATGGGAGTAGGACATAGATAGGCGTACCATAGTCTGTTCTCGTCGTGTCATATCCTGGTCGTCCGCAAGCGCGTAAATGTAGACAAAGAGAGTCCCGATCACGATGATCGAGGCGGAGAATAGGACGCGATATACAAGGCGTTGGCTGATAATCGGCGCGTCCTTCCTTCTAGGTGGTCTGCGCATGACTTGTGGGTCTATGGGGTCTACACCAAGAGATTGACTCGGAGGGCCTGATAGCTCGTTTAGTAGGGTGATTGAAGAGAGAGATTGGACATGCACACAGACCATCCATGAGAATATTTATGAAGAGTATCTGCATTGCGTTGAGCGGGTTGCTAAGCCCAAAGAACGTGCTTAGGGTGATGAGCGTCAGCGCAGCACAAGCAGTACTGAGTTGGAAAGATAGGAAGTTCTGGATATTGTGGAAGATGGATTTCCCTGAGGAACGACCGTCAATGAGTACACAAGTCGTCCACAATCGCGTCTGATCTCACCTTCTTCCACCGCAGGCAAAATAGTGCTGAAGTTATCGTCCACGAGGATCATATCCGCCGCCTCCTTCGCCACGTCTGTCCCGCTCTTCCCCATAGACACCCCAATGTCCGCCATCTTGAGCGCAGGCGCATCGTTCACCCCATCCCCCGTCATCGCCACGACCGCACCCCGACTCTGGAACGCCTCCACGATCGCCATCTTGTGCTTCGGGGTCGTCCTCGCGAATACGCTCACGCCGCCTACGATTTCACGTAGCTGCGCTTTGCTCATCCGGTCGATTGCTTGTCCCGTCAGGCACCCGCTCATGCCCGCCGCAGTTGCACCCACGCGAAGCCCGAGCGAGCGCGCGATTGAGAGCGCCGTTTCCTCTGCGTCCCCGGTGATCATAACGACCTGCACGCCTCCGCTCTGGAGGAGCCCAATGGCGTCGGCGACGCCCTTGCGAGGGGGGTCAAGCATCGCCTGGAAGCCCACGAACACCAGATTCGTCTTCTCCCTGTCCAGCTGGGTGCTTGGAGTCCCCGCCCGACTACCCGCGTGCGATGAGGGCGCTGAGGATGACGGAGTAGACTCAACGGGCCCATACCCATACGCGAGCGCGATGATGCGGAGGCCGCGGGACGCGGTCGTCTGCGCCTTCGTGAGGATGACGTTGCGCGTGTTCGCGTCGAGTGCTGGGGTCGAGTCGTCCGAGACGTAGTAGAATTTGCATCGGTCGAGAATCGCGTCAATTGAGCCCTTGATGTAGTACATCTCCCGCTGCCCACCGTTCACTACGAGTGAATTTGATGGGCTATGCGTGCCGCTAACAGCCATGTACTTGCGCTCGGAGTTGAAAGGCAATTCGGAGGTACGGGTGAAATCTTGGCGCTGGTCGACCATATTGAAAAGCGAGAGGATGTTAAGGAGGGCAACATCAGTGGATTGGCCGACAAATTGGCCCTCCTCGTTCCGGACGGCGTTGTTACAGACTGAGCCCACTATGAGCGTCTTGCGGAGGGCCGGTGTAACTTGCACGTTTGGTGACGTGGTTGACGTAGGGTCAAGTGAGACGACCTCATCGACCGTATACAGCTCCGTGACGGTCTGTTCGTTCTTAGTGAGTGTACCTACGAAGCCCGTGAGAAAGGACTTGGTGATGTGAGTGCGATGACCTACCAGTCTTGTCTGAACAAATGACGGAGATAGACCCAAGCGCTTCAACCGAGTGTAGCTTCTTCACAATAGCCTTACGCTTCGACATCCGCAGAACACCCAGCGCCAGGGTCACCGTCGTCACAATTGGCAGACCTTCCGGAATGGCCGCAACAGCAAGCGACACTGTACTTCACCGAAACAACGTCGTTAGCAGTCGATCCCTTATCACCAGAAATCGAATTGGCGTACCTCCGATGGTGAACATATCGAGCCACGACTTGTGCTGAATCACGCCGAAGATACAGATGACCCCAATGATACCAAACGAAATCATGGACAGCTTCTTCGCAAGCTCATCCATACTGAGCTGCAGGGGGGTCCGCTTCTCCTCGACGTCCTGCATCATCGAGAAGATCACTCCGAACTCTGTTTGCGTCCCTGTCGCAATCACCACGCCCGCGCCTCGGCCTGGGGACAGATATTCAACGTTCATCACACCTACTACCGTATCCGCTACACTCACCGTTTCGTACGAGCGTGCCCATGTACGCGATGCACGACCGCTCTGCGAGCGCAACGGGCTCCCCAGCGGGCACTCCATACCC